GACGTCCGATGCTTGGTTTTTATGCGTCCGAACGATATAACTGAGTTCTGGAAGTTTTCTCGAGTCTCTTAGGACGTCCGATCATGCGTCCGAGGGTAGGATGAATACTTGGTCTTTTCTTCTTCAATTCCTTCGGACGGCCGATGCATCCAAAGTGTTGTGTCCGAAAATCAGCAACATTTGTCGGACGTCCGATACACAGGTGTTGAGCGTCCGAACCAAATTAGTAATGGAGTAACTCCTGGCTTGTCTTCTTCGGACGTCCGAGTCTGAGTTCTCTACTCGTCCGAAGATGCTCAAAGAATGTCGGACGTCCGATACTTTCCTTTTGTGCGTCCGACATCATCCTCAGCATACTTCATTCCTTTCTGATCTTCTTTTTCTGCTTTAACTCTACGTACCTGTTTGGTTTATTTCTGAAAAGGATCTTTACAAAAAGTATTAGAAACATCCAATTGTTTTGTAATCATCAAAAGATATGAATTTGAGATAAACAATATCAACCCGGTTGACGGAGAGTCATCGCGGGAAGATATACGAACGAACTGGCAAAGCAAGTGGAACTTAGCTCCTGAGAGCTACCATATCCTTGAATTGTTTCTGTTTACATTTTGTTGGCATTATTAATTACTTGCAAGTTATCACTTGAACTGTTACTTGAGCTTGTTATCTGAACTATGTGCCTGCATGTGTGTTCTTGGCCTCACGAGTGTTTTGCTCACCCTGTAGATTTGTTTTCCTTAACAGGTTTGAATTCGGAGGTGTACTGGAGAAACCCTCCTGATGTGCTTTTGTTTAGGATTTCTATTATATTTTGGCTATGCCCTTGGTTTTGGGTTGTACTTTTGGAATTGAAATATAACTTTTGGGGCGTGATGTATATTTGGGATTCATGATGTACTTTGAACACCCGACGTGCGGGTTGGATAATAAATGACTATTGTTAAGCTTGAACGCTTCCGCATTTACTGTACTTAAGTTATTTACTTGTGTTATGTAGTTCGATAATAAACTTGAATGGAATTGCTTGAGTCCTGGCGAGAACTAGGCTGGCGTCCCGTGGATACCCTTTGGTTCGCCTTAAGGAGAAATGGGGGCGTCACACAAATGATTGCAAGTGATGTTGTCAGTATTGTGTTTGTAAGAACACACAAAAACTTGGCGGATCCGTTGACTAAACCTCTTACAAGAGAGTTAGTGAGTGTGACAACATTCGGAATGGGATTAAAACCCTTATACTAAAATCACTTAGTAATGGTAAACCAACATTTCTTCTAGTACCACCCCTAGTTTGGAAGGTTTAAAGGGTAATAACAAGTTGCTTCAAGTGATAGTGAACACTACATTTTTTGTGTGTAGACCATTCCAATTAGTAGTGTTATGTGTTACTCTTAAGTGAGTAGGATGAAAAGTAACTCTTAATAAACATATTTCTTGTATTTTTTTTTGTTGAAACTAGAAATATAGTTTATCTATATGGTCATAGAAGTGGTGCCGCTTCTAACAAGAGTTTTGGGTGATCTCTTGTATATGATCATGAATAGGATGAGCACATGGCCAGTAATAGTGCTACAAATGGTTGTGAATATATAAATGCAACATGATTCATGTATGTAATATTTCTTATTTTTGTGAATCTTGGTTTAAGCAATCTAGCCGCCAAGGGCTTCACTTAAATGTCTATTTTGGTTTGGTGACCAGAAGACTCCTTAGGAGTTAAGCGTGCCCACGCTAAGTGATCACGCTTAAAAATCAGAGTTCCAGTTACAAAATAGAAGACTTCTTATGAGTTAGACGTGCCCACGTCTAATCCGGAACGACCAAATCAGACCGAAACTTAATTTTTCAGCAAGGGGAGTTTAAGACGAGAGTTACTTTCCTTGATGCATGAATTTTCAGTATTAGTTTGACTTTCTATTTTGCAAACTAAGTGGGGGATTGTTTATGTAGTTTGTAAAATAGGAAAGGTTTGCACCTTTTGAAGCACCTTTTCACATTGAAACTTCATGTTCCTTTGAAAGGTTACATGTGAACAGTTTCTAACAGTTTTGTGAATATTGTGGGTGTATAAATCAATATGTTGAACACCAGAAAACTAACTTAAGCATTTTTATTCATGACTAGACAAATCCAAGAACTTGCTACTTGGTTGTCTAATTAGAATTCATTGTATCCTAGAGTTTTTGGCCTAGAAACTGGATTAGCAAGATAGTGGGGGCAATCAAACTTCAAGGAAAGTGATTACATGCCTTGAATTCTTCAAGTTTTGATCCCCATTTATGTAAACTTATTTCTATAGAATTCTCTCTTGAATTTTTCTGGTTTGACTCAATACAGTCTTGTACTTCTATATCATTTGTGTTTCAATAATAAGTTTTCACTGAGGAGAAATCTGATGAAGGAGTAAAAGTGGAACTGGACTGTATCTATTGGAACCGAGAGATGGCTAAATGGATTGCAGCTGGTTATCAATGGAAAAATGGAAGAATATTATAAGAAATGCATGAAAATGTTTATTTCTGGCATTAAATAAAGTTTAGCTATGGAAACCTATGAAAGTTGAAACCTTGAGTTGAAAACAAAGAAAGAAACCTGTTGGAATTCTTTCAGCTCCATCCGAGAGAAAGGAACTGGTTGTGCAGCTTATTAATCGAAAGTATGGAACAATTTTCTTCTAAAAATATAGGCTACAAGTTCACACTCTTACTCTGTCTAAGGATTTAAAGTAGAGTTGGTAACTTGAGAGGGAGTTTGCGCAAGAAGTAATATGATGTTCTGCTAAGCTGAGCGAAGGAGGAAGATGGAAATTTCCCAGCTTTCTCTATAGAATTTGATTGCAGAATATCATCTTGTGGCTCAAACACTTTCTAACACATTAATCCCAACATGCATGATGAATTTTAGATACTGGTAAGTTATGCTAAAGGAAAGCTTGATTAGTAACTACTTACCTGCTGGAAAATGTTGTGTCGAGGGAATGAGGACAGATTATGCCACTATTGCTTGATATTTTGGAGACACTTACCAACAAATGCATGAGATATGTTTAATCTCTTGTTTTAACAGATATTTGTATTTGAAGCTAATAAAAACTTTGGAAATTCTAGCTGAATTTGGCGAAGAAAGCTAATGAAATCTGCTAAGATGGCCGAGAGGGAGAATAAGTTCCTGATCAGTTTTCCTTTCAAACTCCAACTCTGAGAATTTTCATATCTAATATTTAAGGCTACTCAGTAGTTTAATGGTTGTATTTAGCACAATGAGTCGGGGTTAAACTGAAGAAATTAGGGAGGAAAAAGCTGTAAACCAAACTGCTATATTGCTAGAAGAGTTAATGATTAATGCCATAGCTGATGACTGGTTTTGTGCGGGGCTTTTGGTTGAACAATCTGCTGAAATTAGGTGTTATTTGCACTGGTTTAAGCTAGACCAAATGTATGTTACGTATTTAGTGCTTTAAGCAAGTGAAAGATGGAGTTTTTGTTGAAAATTGGAGGTAATATTGGAGGAATTTTTGTAGTTGGCCGAAGTGATGATGAAATAAGCTTCTATGATATTTATAGAGAATATAAGGTAACTTGTTATAGCTATATATAAAATGGCTTCTAATTACTTAATCTTGTCTTCACAAGCATTTTGAAAACTATATAACTTGAGAGGCTGGTATAGTAGAATAAAATTTAAACTACAAACGGCTTAGAATCTAGCTAGTTAAAAGGGAACCAATGGAGTGTACCTAAGCTTGAACCTTAAAATCTTAAGTGAAAAATAGTTTAATCCTAATTTAAATATTTATAAATTATAACCTTAGAGTATATGTATATTTCTTGGTTAAAATGATAAAGTCAATGAGTTTCGAAATAAAAGGTATAATGAATAGTGAATATATATTATATGTTGTATTTTAAGGTCAAACTTGATTTTAATAGGTTAAATAATTGGGTAATAAATAATAAGTAAACATCTACAAATTATGTATTTATCTTGAATTTATTAACTTGCTTTAGGAAGTAGCTGTGAGCCAAGAAACCACCCCGAAGCCCGAGAGTAGTTATTTGAATATTTGGTGAGTGTTGCCGAACTATGTGCTTAACTGTTTATGTTTCTTAAATGAAATTATGTGATAGATGTACTTATTACGAACATTGCTAGTGATTCCTTGTGATGTGTAAATCAATTTTCCCTCGCCTTCTAAGTTGAGGGTGTACTTTATCACACTCGTCTTAGATGAGTTTGAGGGTTGAAAATTGGTCAAATGTTATTGTATGTGTGCATGAATGTAAGCTATATGTGTGCTTTACCGCATCGGCTGAACTGGACCCAAAACCCTCTGTTCAACGGACTATTCGAGCCAGCAAAAGGGCTTGGTCGGATAGGACGGAAGCTTTAGGTAAATGTTTCGGTATACTCGAGTATTACCTTGAAGTTGGTAGATTATTGAACTGATCATTGACTATAGGGGATTGTTTATTGTCTTGGAGGACATAAGGAGGTGAATTGACGGGGTGTACAATGACATTGAAATGAGTGTCTCATGGCACTGAAGTGAATGTACAATGATATAGAAACGACTCCCAGGAGGAGTTTGTATCCTTTTAAAAGTGATTGTACAGTGAAATGTGCACTACTTGCTTAATTGTACTCATTTAAGTATTTGTTAAATGTTACTTGCTCGGCAAACCTCACTGAGTTCTAGCTCAACCCTTTAGTTTTGTTTTCCTTACAGGAGTTGGTGGTCGGGGATTGAACGAGTGAGCGTGAAGACTTTTGTGTTTGTGCATCCCTTTAGTATCATATTATGGCTGAAGTTTTTGTATTCAACTAGGTAATGTAAAAAGGACTTGAATGGTTGGTTTTTTTTTTGTTTTATCAAAACGGTATCTCTAAAGTTAATGTAAAAGTTAGTGGGAGTTATCCAACTGTTATCTCTGAAGTTGATGTGAAATTGGTGAGCCCTGGCGAGAGCCAGGCAGGCAACCCGCTAACTTTTAGGGTACGCCCTAGAAGGAGATAGGGTCGTCACACGAACTAACTAATGCCTTTCTCTCATCATCACACACGGTCTCACTCTTTTCCTTTTTCCTCAACTCACACTCTGACTCATATTCCTCATGTAATCTCACTTGATCCTCTTGAATTTGTCTAGGGGTAAGGGGAACAAGGGTAACTTTTCTATTATAATGCATGAAGGAATATTTATTCAAGCAACCGTCAAAGTGGACAGCTTTGTTGTATTGCCAAGGACGACATAAGATCAAGTGACTTGCTTGCATTGGTACTACATCACATACCATTTCATCTTCATACTTACCAATGCAGAATGGTACCTTCACTTGCCAATAAACTTGTTCACCACCATCTTTATTTAACCATTGGAGTCGATATGGCTTAGGGTGCTTGGTGGTTGAAAGAACTAATTTCTCAACCATGTACAAGCTCGCTACATTGGTGCAACTATCACCATCAATTATTAGACTACACAACTTGTCCTTGATGTGGTAGTGAGTGTAGAATAATTTGTCCTGTTGTACATCTTCATCCTTTAAAGCTTGGGCAGCATGCATTTTTCTTACAACCAAGACTCCCACGTTCCCTTTAGAAGGCAATTCTTCCTCCAAGTTGTCACTTTCCTCCACTAAAGGCAGTATACCTTCACAATCATCCTTATTATCCGACACAACTTCTCTATCAAGTAGGATGAGCATGGTCCTTTGGTTGGAACATTGAGATGCTATGTGTCCAAAACCTTGACACTTGAAGCATTTAGCATCCCCACTCTGTAGTTTTGAAGTGCGTGTACCAACCTCCGCCTCAATTTTAGTTGGTGGTTTAGTTTCCACTGGCCTTGATTTTGGTGGTTGAGAAGGTTCCACATACTTGTCCTCACATTTTGATGGAGGATCATGCCAACTCCTAGCTTGAGAGTTAGAATTAAGGCGAGTGTTACCCCTCTTCTTGAGGCGCATTTCCACCTTCAACGCCTTGTCCAACAACTCAATCATATTTAGATAGTGTTGGAGCTGCACTATCTTGACAATTTCAGGCCTCAAACCATTTAAAAAGCTAGACATTGTGGGTTCTAAATCTTCTTGAACGTCAGCCCTCATCATCGCCATCTTCATCTCCTTGTAATAAACTTCCACGAACATATTGCCTTGAGTAAGAGTTTGTAATCTATTATGCAAGTCTCGATGATAATAGTTAGGCACAAATCTCTTCCACATCAATCCTTGCAACTCCTCCCAATTCTCCACAGCCCGCTCACAATTCCTTCTACAACTAAGGTGTAGTTGATTCCACCATACTGATGCATAGTCAATGAACTCCACAGCTGCCAGTTTTACTTTTTGTTTGTTTGTGTAGCTATTGCATTCAAATATCATCTCAATCTTCCTCTCCCATTCCAAATAAGCCTTGGGGTCGGATTTTCCTCGGATAGATGGAATTTTTAGCTTGATACCCTTTATTTGGTCATCACTTCTCTTATTGTTGTTTTGGACAGCCCTTAAATGACCTTCATCCTCCTCATATTCATCATTAGAAGCTCCATTTTCTGCTCTATTACTCCTTCCTTGGCTTGTTCCACTTCGGTTTTGGGAATTTTCAAGATGATCCATCCGTTCATGCAATGAGTCAAATTCCAATCTCATCTTATATTGGAATTCACTCATCATAGCCTCTATGGCAAGCTTAGAGTCAGCAATACATGATTCCTCTCCATTTGACATGTTAAGGTAACCTACAAAAAGAGTAAGCAAGAAACAAGTGTGTTTTTCCTCACACACTCCCTTAGTATTTATCCTCAAGGCTCGTATTTGCGCTCAATCACTCCAATGAGCTCACAATCAAGCTCTAATGAATGTTACTTGTTGGCCTTGAATAACTTAGAGCTATCCTTAAGATGAATTCTACTTATCAAGTAGTATTCACTTGCTTATAGCTCGGTCAGGATTTTTCAAGCAAAACAAGAGTTGGAGCACGAATAAAAGGTGTTGGAAATTTGCAGATTTGCTTGGTAAAGGTGCACTCTAATTGAACTCAACAAACCCTATGCAATGAGTTTAAGATCTGGACTGATTTTTTTGGTAACAAGGATACGGATTATGTACCAGAATTTTGATGCACTGGACACTTAAAATATTGCTGGAAAATTACTCTACAAAACCTGTTTGGACTTGGACAACATTGACTCAAAGATTTCTGGAAGGTGTTGGACTTGGACAAAGAAACTAGAATTAGGAAACTAGTAACTTTTATAGTCCAAGACTGATTTGGAGTTATATGGACTATCAAGAATCGACTATAAATTGGAAATAAGACTCAAGGATGAATTATTTGTGGCTGGACAATCAACTTAAAATTTGGAATAAGAGGACACAATGCAGCAGAATTTTTTTGGAGCCCTAGAAAACTCTACCCGACTAGGTGTGATGGCTGGAAATTTGGAAGTTGCTGCGAATGGTTATGGGCTTTATCTTTCAGAGATAAGGTGTTTGTTTGGTATATTTCCCAGGTGTATTTTCTGGTTTTGCAGCTGGATATTGTAAGCCTAATTGAACTAGGTTTCGTTGTCCAGCTTTTGGAAACAAAGATTCGAGTCAACTTTGGTTTCCAATTCACAATTGTCTTCTTGTTACCAAATTCAAGATTATGATCCGGAACTTTCAAAAAGATTGTGATCTGTATGTCTTGTCCTCTTTTTGTATTTTTTTTTTCACAGAACAAGACTAGATTCTTTTTCTTCCCCTTCTTTTTTTTTTATTCATGGATCAACTCAAGAAACAAGATCAAGAACAGTCGTAAATTTCCAGGTTCAAGATGATGAACTAGGTTTTCAAGAATCTCAAGGTTTGGAAACTTGGTTCAAGATTTTCAAGAAACTACTTTTCAATCCAAGAACTTCAAGATTTCGAAGAAATTGATCAAGAAACTTCAAGAAATTCAAGACTTTGTCCAGAAATTTCAATAAGTATAAATGCTTTTCAATAAATCAAGGAAATCAGCCACGGATTGCACTTGGTGACAAGAAACAACCGCGGATTGCTTAATAACTCAAGGAACCGAAATCTTTTTTTTTTTGGTGTTTTCTTGACTCTAAGTGATGCAAGACTTCAAGACACACGACAACAAGACACAAAAACAAGACAAACTCGACCTAAACATTGCAACAAGAAATGGACAGCAATAGAGACACGAGAACAGCTATGGAAAACTCAAGAAACCATAGCGTTTCTATCACAAGAGGTACGGACAGTAATTTTTTTTTTTTGACCAATACAAGACAAGATAAATGAAGGAACAACACAAATAAGTCACGAATTGGACTGCACAAATTCGGACAACAAGATAAACAAACGAAACCCTAGAACTAAACAAAACAAAAGGGATGTAACATTGATACCTCCAACCTGGCTTTCATACCAACTGATATAATTCTCGATACGCCAAGATGAATTAAGAACATGAACTACAAGCCCTGGATCTAGGTTAACAATCAACGTTTGGGAATGGAATTCGTAATCAATCAAGGACAGTTCGAGATTGATTAGAATGGATAGAATGATACCACAATCAAGGTGAATACTCGACTGATAAGTCAACGAAACACCTTAGGCCTACTCTAAAATGTTCAAGACGGCTTTCACAAGCCCAAAAGAGCTCTTTCTCTCACGAAAGAATTCTGGAAAATTTTCTCAAAATCTGATTCTCTACTAAAAATGTTAGAAACTAAGGCCTTTTATAGCCTTTTACACAACCAACTCCTAATCCAACTAGAAGACGCAAAACTAAACTCTCAACCCTAAGAATTAACTCTAATTCGGCTATTATCTTTGGTCAACATCACTAAGCCTTTTATTTAACTAAACTAATTGAGTTAAACGATTAAACTCAAAGCTGAAATTAACGAAAGGACATGAACAATGGAAACAAATGACAAATAGCTAATAAACTAGACCATTCGGCCAAGGCACAACGTGATGACCCTAGCTTGATACAAACGGACCTGATAAGCTTCAAAACCAACTAGATTCCATATCACATATTATGTAGGTAAAATTTCATTTTCGTTGTCGATGACCTATATTTGCTTATATAATTGAACAAGGTAAACTTTCTTATTGAAGTTATTAAGCTTTTGTAGAACCGGTGAGGCTACAAAACTCAAATGTCACCACTTACCGTTTTCCTTTGCTTCACTAATCTTTTTGATAGTGGAAGGCATCATTCCTTCTCTTCTTCTTGCTGCACTTCGATAGAGATAGTTATTAAAAGTAAGATGTTATCAATCTGTCTCTAGTCCTTGCTGCTGAGCTCAAGTTCCTCTATTTTGTGTTGTTTGCTAACTTATATTTTGCTTCCTTCTCTTTTCTTTCCCATTGGTGTTCTCTTTTGACAGTTTGATGATTAGCCATGCTATCGGTTATTATCAACTATGATGCCAATTGATTGAATTTGAAGGCCAAAGGTTCTTTTACTTAACCTTTATTTACTCATTATTGCATGATTTATTTTCTTGTTCTACTAGATTCCTAGCACCATACATGTTGATAATTATCTCTTTATTCCAAGTCGTAATAGTTTGAGCATTGCATGGTTTTCACCTAATTTTTTTGCTTAGTTGTGGCCAATTCCTTGGACTTATTCTATTAGCCTTGGAAATAACTTTCTAACACAATAACTTATCAAATTGGATCTTTCTGGAGCTTTAGAAATTTTTGTAAAACGTCTAAATGAGACAAGTTGATAATGTTGCAGGTTGTGTATTGATTGACTAAGTATGGGAGAGCTTTCATTATATTAAACCGCAATATTGGAGCTTAATATGGTACTTTTCTTTGCATGAATTATTTTCTTGGAGAAAGTTTAGCTTTATGCCTTTTTATTTGTTAGCCTTTTACCTTTTCCTTCCATATGTATATCTTTCTAGGAACTTAGAGTTGAAAAAAAGAAAGAGCAGAATTAGAAAGGCTTCTAATAAATGCATCAGTCACTTTTAACTCGACTGAAGATGGAAAATAGAATGAACAAGCACATGCTGTTTCGGCTTGATGTGGCATTTCATTTCCCTTCTAGGCAAAAACAACCTGAACTCTTGTACCTTTTACAGGAAACAGGGGAGCACTGGAAAAAAATATCCTTGTGGTAAGTTCTTTTGTGACAGCCCCACCTCCCCCTAAGGCGAACCAAAGGATTCGGCGGACCGCCTACCCAGCTCTCGCTGGGACTCAGTCATTCACTACAGTCCTCAAATAAATTACAATATAAATCTCATATATACATCAAATTCTCTAATAATTACATGTCATAAACGAAGCGGAAACAATTCCCAACTATACATAAAATGATTCCAAATCCAAACTATACAAGATATATGCCATCCAGTCACGTGAATAAGTACTACAAGCCTTCCTTCGCCACGAGCCCTGTGGAGGGGAATAAAATATTTTTGGGGTGAGCTAAAAGCTCAGTGAGTAACCAGTAAATCAGTAATCAAATATATTTCAAGATAATGCACTTCGATGATGTCATGAGTCAAAGATCAAATGTACGTTTATTGCTCTCGTGAGCCAGTGAAATCATTGCACTTAAACACCCAACGCTCAAAAAGATCTTTTAACGTTAACGTTGAACAGTAAGAGGGAGCAACGTTGGTGCTCCAGATCATGTCACGAACTCACGAAAGTGGTGGAGACGTTGGCTCCAGGTAAATAGTAGAGGAGACGTTGGTGTTCAGCACAAGACTCCCCAAGAACTCATTTAAGCTAAATCATTTCATGGACTCACATGCCGGCACACATGATATGCAAACGAGTAAATAATGCAAGAAACACTTCGTAAGTAACTTTGAAAACAGTTTAGGGTCACTCACCTCCACGGCTCAGAAACCATCCATCATATATCATTACCTTGCCCGAGTAACCAGTAAAATCAGTAATCAAATATATTTCAAGATAATGCACTTCGATGATGTCATGAGTCAAAGATCAAATGTACGTTTATTGCTCTCGTGAGCCAGTGAAATCATTGCACTTAAACACCCAACGCTCAAAAAGATCTTTTAACATTAACATTGAACAGTAAGAGGGAGCAACGTTGGTGCTCCAGATCATGTCACGAACTCACGAAAGTGGTGGAGACGTTGGTTCCAGGTAAATAGTAGAGGAGACGTTAGTGTTCAGCACAAGACTCCCCAAGAACTCATTTAAGCTAAATCATTTCATGGACTTACATGCCGGCACACATGATATGCAAACGAGTAAATAATGCAAGAAACACTTCGTAAGTAAGTTTGGAAACAATTTAGGGTCCACTTTCTGCTGGTTGTTATCATAATGTAATATAGTGGTTTGGATAGCTACTTTTGGGAGGATGTAATTAAAACTCTTTCGGGATTGTATATATTGTATATAGTACCCTTTTGGTTTATTTAGCTTTTATTGCTTTAAGTTTTGAGTCCTGGCGCGAGTTAGGCACGCAATCCGCTGATACCCTCGGGTTCACCCTTGAGAGAAGTGGGGTTGTCACATCTTTTATATTAATCTTTTCTTTCTTTTAACTGTTCTTGAAAGATTTTGATTTCTTGAACAAAAGAAGAGTTAAAGTGCCAAACCAGTTGACTCGTTAAGTTGGTCAACTGACTAATTCACAGCCGAAATCTTGTTACATGATGTATACTTGTTGCTTCCTAATGATTTTTTTAGTGTAATAAAAGCTTATTCAGATAATG